TGCAAAACCCTAAGATTGAACTTATCCTCACATGGCTCAATCTCAAGGACTCAGATCACGATCCTGCACAATTCAATCACCAAACACAGTAAAAACAAGCCACAATCAATCGTATTCCACACAATCCTAATCCGAGAGCCTATGGTCACGCACTCACCTTTGCAAACGGATTGAAACGAGGAAACAAGGCACTCCCGACACGATCCGAACAGAAGGGAATAACTCGCGACTCCCTTTACCAAATCAACGTCTGAAACCTGATCTGGAAACTAGACACCAAGAACTTCGCAACGGTGCATAGAACGTCTCCTAACTCCAAACAGATCGACGGGAAAACAGCCCGCAATCTCGCTAATCGAATCTCCAAATCAGGATCTGAAACCTAATACAAAAACTAGACAGAGAGAGCTTTCCAACGGCATAAGGATCGTCTCCTGATTCTCTCTGGTTCGACGGAAATCCTCCCTCAAAGTGGACTGATCGCAGACTCGAGATCTCAAAGTTTCACTCTGATCCGATCCGATCTTCCCCGCCAATCATCTCCTCCAAAAACCCGAGCAGAACTGTTTCTCTCTTAAGAAAAACCCTTGTCTCACAAAACTCTCTAAAACTCTTTCTCTGATCAAATTTTCGGCCAACCCCAAGAGAAAACGCTTTTCTCTGCTTAAATACGGAACCCTAGGTTCCCTAAACCAACCCAAACCAAACCCGATCAGAAATCAAAACCACACGGTCCAATTTAAGCATGTGTCGCTTGACACAAACCTCTTGTGTCGCGCGACACAGCTCCAGCAAACAGATTCCTTCGCGAATTAAACACACGTGTCAATCGACACACAACCAAAAATCACATTTTTGGTTCACGGGCGTTACAAGTGAATTCGTCTAAGCTCAACAGATTACATTCGTTTGCTTACAGATCCTCTACTGATGAGCTTTGGGAAATTTGAGTTTTGATTTATATGTTTGATATCTACATGAGATTGTTCATGGTAAAACGGGTGTGTGGCTCAGATTTGTCATGGAGTTCATGGGTTCGAATCATATCAATACATTTTTTTGTTATATTTAAAATTATGTAAACGAAGTAGTTTGGATGATAGATACACGGGTTACTATCGAGTTAAGTGCATTGACTTATTTTTTTTAGTTCAAGGGTAGTTTTGCAACAACAACAAAATTTGTGGAGGGTTTTTTGGCAAAAAACCCTTAAAAGAACACATTTTTTGTTTTAATTTGGGAGACAACTCAGGTAACTTGGGTTGGTGGAAATCAAGTATTGGTCGGCGGCTATATTGCACGGAATCGTCCGTGAAGTTTCGATTCTCGCTCCA